TTTTCATTTTTGGGTGAACTAACCCTACTGATTAAATCGCTGAATGAACATGGCAACTTTTGCAGAGAAGGATTTATGATACTCATAAAAGACAGTTCTTCCATATGTCAAAGCCAGGTCAGAAATGATGGCAAGATATTTGTCCAGCTCTGCTCTACAAGACAGATAGACTTCGCATATGATGTCTCTATATACTCCGAAAGCCACATTAAATTCAGTAAGAGTCAAAAGTTTTTGAAAGCCTGGGGTCGCTGTCTTTAAGCATAATAGGCATGTCGCCACAATCTACAACACATCTATCATTAAATTCTGAGCTCAGTAATATTTTAACAAGGTTGACATCGTTACCTGCTATGATATGGCTTCTTAGCTGATGAGAAATTGCTGCAGCCAGCAGAAAGAATGGAGAGCTAGTGGACACGTCCTCCATGGGATGGTGTCAACCGTGGAACGGTCGCTGGAATGTCATCATCCTGTTGCCCAGGGGCTACAGGCAGCTGCACCATGGCCGACGTGGGGTTCAAGGATGACGGGCCAGAGAAAAGGAGATTTACCGAGGACTTGGTGCTCAGCCGGACTCCAGGGCCTGGATCCTGGAGTTTATGTCAGAGAGCGAAGACTGGATGGAGGACAATCCTGACAAAACAGGATCGTTGCGTTGGACCGTAGAGTTGCCTGCTTGGGCTGAGCCGGCAGGACCACCTTGCCCATTTGGGTGCCGCAGTGGCTGAAACGAAGGCTGGATCGATGTTCTTCCTCTTCTGCACATGCTTCTTGCTGGAGAAAGGAGGCGGAGGGGCAAAATCTGCTGCTGGGACGTCATTGTTTTCACAGAGCAAAATGCAGCAGACGGTGGACAAAGGTGAAGCTTTCTAGAGTGCATGCATCGACTGCCTGCGTTTGCACACGCTATCAAATGAAATATGCTTTGAAAGGTTACGTGTTTGATTGTACGCATACACTAATGTCCAGATACAAAAAACAAAGTATATGAAAAAGTTTTCTTCCTCTTTCTCGATGTTCTTCATCTTCTGCACATGCTTCTTGCTGGTGAAAGGAGACAGAGGGGCAAAATCTGCTGCTGGGACGTCAATGTAAACAGTTCCTCATGAGAAGCTCCAGTTGAATCTGGGAGGAATAACTGATTTACTTGCCAAGCGAGAGCTACGACGGACGGAAACGTTGCTCTCATCTTGGATAGCTTCCTCTGGCTTGGATGTTGCTAGGATTCTTCGATGGATTCAACTTGCCACAGATCTTCTTCATTAGTGGCGGAAGACATGGTAATCAATAGGGTGAGTAATGGCATATACAAGAGTAATATGATTACAAAGCACCGTACAGAGGAAGCAGCAAAGCAAGCTGACTGAATCTGCATTCAAGTATGGCACCCTGTTTGAGATTTGCCAATCGAGTGCATAGGAATCGGATCAGCTGATAGGGGCTGGGTTTTAATTTTCCAATCAGCTGATAGCGGCGCTTGACTACGAGGCCTGCCTGAACTAACGCAGAATGCTTAATTAGCATCCACACCAGCAGATGATATCGTCTGTTTATTCTAAGCACATATTTGTCTCCCCCTTTTAAAATCTGAAGCTCGTTATAGCAGGATTGCTTCTCATTAGTCGTCTATGTTTTTATCATTCATCAGCTGGAAAAAAAACATTCGGATAGTGATTCCAACGATATCATTTCTCTGTGCCTTGTTGTGAACAGGCCTTAAGAATGCATGGCACCTCGAACAGGCCTATCTCCTTCCATTGCGCTCATTGAAAAGTTAGAAGAAAAAAAAAAAGAACAAAAACTAACATCAACAACAACAAAATAGCAGACACTGCAACAACGACAGGTGGCCACATTGACAAGCGCTTCTGTGAGAGAGTTATGAGAGAGCCGCAACTTTAGTTTAAAAGAGTACAAAGACATTTTTATTAGTCATAACTGCTGAAGAAAAATGCAGCAGGCAGTGGACAAAGGTGAAGCTTTCTAGAGCGCATGTGTCGACTGCCTGCGTTCGCACACGGTATCAAATGGAATATGCTCTGAAAGGCTACGTGTTTGATTGTACGCATACACTAATGTCCAGATACAAAAACAAAGTATATTTTGGGCTTTACTCTGGAGCTGGTTCAGCCTATGCTGAATCATCTGAAGTGGTTTCTGATTCAGTAAAACAAACAAGAACACCGAGACCAAACTGTGCTGGATTAAGTGGACAATCAACTACAAACAACTGAACCAGAAGACTACATTTTGAAACTTAAAAAAAAATCTGAGTCCTATGAATAAGCAGCTGCTGTTTTTATTTAAACAGGTGAAATGTGTCTTTGTTTCGAGAACTGAATGAATGGTTTGGGAAATTGGGCCAAGTAAATCAGTTAAAGTGTGTTAGCAATCGAGAAAAACTGTAACACAAATTATTAACCAGCTGTTAGTAAAAATAAAAATGAATTCTGAGGTTAACAGCTAAATGTATGACAATAAAAACAGCGTCTCATGATGCCGGAAGACAAAAGAACACAAAATGCTGAAAAGAGCCGGAGCTCCAGAAGGTGAATAATGAAAATGATTTATTGACTGTGTGATCATTTGAACTGAAAACTAATTTTGATAGTAATAATACAAATTGTGACACTACAATAAAAACAATAAAAACGATTTTGTCCAACACAAACAGAGGCTGAGAAAAGCACAGAAACACATGGTCACTCAGCAGACTCAGCAGGAACACTTATCTTACTGTCTATATGAGGATTTATTACACACATTTATTCTGACATGTTATTTCACTGACAGAAGTTCAGCTGCAGTATTAATGTCATCAAGAGAAAAGAAGAGACTCTATAACATCTCACTGTTACTGATTTATAATGTAGCTCAAAGCATTATGGGTAGAATCTCTCGTCAGTCTATTCTGATTCATCAACACAGTTTCACTGATGATCCAGAACCAATATAAAACCCAGGATAGAGCGGCTGAGTGAATGTGGTCTGGACTGTGTGGATGAGGCTCATTGTGTCAGAGACGCTGTAGAAGGACAGAGTTCCTGCACTGTGATCCACAAAC